AATGATAAAGCAGCCCTCCAAGAGTGGTTCCAGCTCCCACTTAAGTCTACAGCAGTCATGTTGGGTATGGAAAACCACATGCAACAATTACATTTAAAACTTTTTTTTTAATTTAAAAAAGCTCCTAATATTCTTTTGAACCCAGAACACACTGAATTTAAGTACATGAATAATAAACTGCTCAAATACTTCTGCAACTTAGATGCACGCGTCACTTGATAGAGCTGCTGTGGTATGTCTAAAAAAACCCCACATGTACATAGCTTTTGTTTTGTAAGCCAATCTTAGCACAATATTGTGCTACACAACATTTTTAGCTATGCAAGGAAAAGCAGACAACTGTTGCAGGCCAGTTCTTAAGTTTCTAGCAGGACATTTCCTTTGGGAAACTATTTTCATGATTCTGAAGTTAATGTAATCTGTTCCAAAATAGTTTTCTTCTCATACATATCTGATTTTTTTCCATTTTTCCCATTGCAGTTGTTAAATGACTTTATTAATTATGGCACCATCACTCATCTTACTGGAAGGCAGAGCCCTCTACATGGCTTACATTCTGCTGGAAAACAATGGAGCGTGGAAATTAAAAGTAGAACAAGATTTTAAGTGACAGAAGTAGACCGCCAACCTTTCTGACATATCCTTCTCCCAAACAGGCACATAGTCTTTGGCTAGTGTTATACACCTTGAACACCTCAAAAGGCAGATCTGCTGCAAACATGCAGATAGTATATACGTGTTTGGCACATATGAACTAGAGCCTGTGCTCTGTGCATGTGTATTCCTGTGCAAGTTCTGATCATCCAATCATATTCTGAGGAGAGCATATACATTTTCAAGGGCTGTATCTATCCAATTCTGCCTGTAACAAACACCCAAACATTCTGAAATATCATTAAGACAGACAAGGCTAAAATTAAAACTTTGGAGAACAAAGGAAAATGGCCATGCATCTGCTCTTCAATGCTTTCCTAGGGTATATTAAAATAAAACAAATAAGAGTCAGTCTTTTCACAAGTAGGCTAGTTTATATTCTCTGGATTTTTTCAGCCACCACAACTGGATTCTCTTTCCTGATTTTTGCTGCAGCTTCTGCTTTGTAATCATATGGGCAATTATGCTTGTCAGAATAACGGTGAAGTCCACAAAATAAGTTTCCACATCGGCAATCAAATCCTGTACAAAGAAAAGGAAAAGCAACATCACTAGGAAGCTTCAGGCTTAAGCAAGCTATAAATTAAGGGCTTAGTCAGTACAAAGGGGGTATGTGCCTCTACTTCAAACAAACAGAATAAATGAAATTAATATTTCCAAATGTCAGCTCTATTAAGGGATCTAACATTACGGATTTTGAAACAGCAAGCAAGTTTAATGGCTACAGATATTTCAACAAATTTAATCTAGTAAGAGACAACGAATCATATAAATCTGTTTGATATTGACAAAGTGCTTTCATACCCGTAAGGCCAACCTTCTTTCTGCACATGAAACATCTGTTCTTCTTTGGTTTAGGCAGTTCAGAAGCTTTCTCTTCACTCTGTGAAGTACTAGGTTGAGAAACTGATGGGCTTGGTTGAGTAACAACTGTTAAAGCAAGCAAAAGAAACAAAGGTTAATTTTTTCCTTTTCTTGACTTCAGTAGCTGCTCAGTAGCATGCTTGTATTTATTAACAGTTAATTCCCCCCTCTACTAAGACCCTGAAGTACTAAGTAGAATAGGTATTCTGTTAACTTCCCTTTTATCTCTACAGAAAACCATCAAGTTTTCCCCACTGTTCCATCATCTAGAAAATACAGGATACCTAGTGTTATCACCTGTATACACCCATATAGGTATAAAGGCTTGGAAAGCACTCTAGAAGGTCCACATATATACAACATTAAAAGTCATATGATCTAGTTTAAATTAATCCAAAACAATAACAATATTGTTAAAGTTGTTGAACAGAGGGGATACTTGTGGAAAATAGTCAATAGGAACATATTTTAGAAACAAATGACATTTACAGTAATGCTTTTTTGTCATAGTACCAAGTCACTGCCACTATACTTGCCAAGTCAGATGATCTAAAACCTCAAAGAGTCAACCAGAACAACAGCTAACATTCTTGAGATTCAAACCACTGATTCTGAGATACATCAAGTATACTACTACAAACGACACATCTCAAAAGAGCCCTTGTTTCAGACACTTTTTTCAGTAATTTAAAGAAAAGTACATATTTACATTGATATCTGTATCCTTGTACTATATTCAACCTTAATGATCAAGCAGGTAGAGTCAAAATTACTTATTTTTCAATTGCCTTTTCATGAACACTTTTGGTCAAATTTTAGTCACATTTTACTCAAGTTCTCTGCAGGATAAAAATGGATCTTTCTGTGAACTTCTGTGGATCTGCTAGTTTTCTTTGAAAAATTAATTTTATCAGTTGTTTTTTAAATCCTTTTAATACTCAAATTAGTGCAGAGGAAAGTCAAGGGAGGTGTGTTTGTATACAAACTTTAAACACATACAATCCAAGGAGTCTGTTCCCATTCAGTTTTCCTGAACACTCAGTTGTATGACTACATCTATTGTTTTAAAAGATAATGAGCAAGCTATAAAATACACTCCAGAATTAATGATTGAGAAGATAGGCTTAAAGGACTCATTTGTAACCAACTTTATACATACAAATAGAATTTCTTAGTTGAGATCGTTTTGGATCAGTAAGCATTACATTCTGTAAAAAGTAGATTTTATTAGACATCATGAACCCCTTATAGTTAACTTATCTTTGCTATTAATAGCTGCTCTTTTAAAATTTTATTTGTATTATGTTCATATGCCTATTACTACTAACACAAAGCCTCACAGATCCAAGCCCCATTTCACAATTCACTGTAGAAGTTAAGAGAGCCTCCAGTCAGTAGTTCATATTCCAGATTGTAAACAAGATTCAGAAGTAAAACTTCCAGAGGTAACAAGGAACTGTCAGTGCTCATACCCCAAAAGTTTTATACAGTAAACCAGCATTTTCTTATACAATATTGTAACTGTAACAGTCCTAAGGAACAACTCAAACTCTTTACTAACTTTATTTTTGACATATTCTATAGATTTTTCTAGGAAGTGTGACGAGTTCAGCGTCAACACAATTTTGCTAAGTCTGAGGATAACAATACCATCCAGTTTTGGATATATAATACTTTTTCCATATTTAAGCATGCTATTGGTAAAAAGCAAAAGGTACAGCACTACAATCATTACTGCTATTAATACTTTTCACAGTAGTTTCCACAGCTGCTTTTTTTAAAAAAAAATTTGTCTTGACAATTAATATTTTCTAGATTAATAAATATAATCCTTTAAACCCCAAGGAAAGTTGTGTTCAGTACCAAATAATCTAGTTGAGAGCCTGTGACCAAAAAAATCGGGTTAAAAACACTGACACCACAGCGTAAGCCTGTTGGATACCATACACCTTAGCTGACAGGCATTAGTTGTGGCATTAAGAAATTGACTAAACATCACCCAAACCAAGAAGCAGGGTCAAGAATTTGTTATATTGCCATTCCATTTAAAATGAAATGCTAGTTGTAAGCCACAGCAGATGGAAAAAGGGAACCTTCCGATTCTCTCCCCCATCCCACTCTGGGGGAGTGAGCAAGCAGCTGTGTGGTGCTTAGCTGCCTACCAGGGTTAAACCACAACAATCCTTTTTGGTGCCCAACGCGGGGCTTGAAGGGTTTGAGATAATGACAGGTTTGATTGGAATGTGCTAGATTGAATTTATAGCCATTATTGCTGTTTAGCTATTAATCAGCAGGCTCCTGTGCTTGCTTGCCTTACTGTATATTAGAGTCTAGTGCTCATTTGTGGCTGTTTTTTGCTTTTGCTGCTTGCTGTACTACTTATGATCATACTTTGCCATGCCTGGAAACATTTTGATAACAGCAATGGCCATGCGCCTGGGCTGGCAGATGGCCAGGGCACTGCTGCTTTTTCTGTGCTACTGTACTGGACAGGCTGGAACTCCAGTGTCAACTTGAGTCGAAGGGACCGTGACCTGTGGATGAGTCTGCATGGGAGGGGGACACCCTGAAGCATCTGTGGCCATGGATAAGTCTGTGCCGCAGCAGGTATACCTCTGAAGGGATTGTGGCCCAAGGATAAGTCCATACTGCAGCAGGTACACCTTGAAGCATCAGTGGCTGCGCACAAGGTCGTGCTGGAGCACCTCAAAGCCTGTGGCTATAGGTAAGCCCATGACAGAGCAAGTTTACTCCTGAAGGGACTGTGGCTGTGGGCAAGGCCACACTGGAGCAAGTATACCTCTGAAGGCATTGCAGCCCATGGAGAAGGCCACACTGGAACAGGTGCACCTCAAAGCAACTGTGGCCGTGGATAAGTCTATGCCGCAGCAGGTACACCCCTGGAGAGACCGTGGCTTATAGACAAGGCTCCACTTGGAGTAGGTAAACCCCTAAGGGACTGCAGTAAGTCAGAGCAGGGGCAAGGGGAGGAGTCCATTGCAGTGTTAAACCCAATGGTCTGGCCCAAAGGGGCCAGGGGTGGAGATTGTAATGGAAATACCTTTAAATTGTTGTAACCCATGATCTGAGTTGCATGTTATGGGAAGTACTATAGCAGGAACCACCCGAACCAATGGAGGATGAACATCACAAGAAGCAGCACAAGTGCAGCAGTGACCCAACCTGTGCTCACTGAACCATCAAGGCAAAGAGATAGTCTAGTAGATTATTCTGTGTCACAAAAAGATATTAAAAACAAATCCATCTAAGGAAAAGTGTTACCAACTGCTACAAATGTACTTCTTCCTCCATATAAATAAACTGACTAGTGTTCACTACCACAACCAACAATATGGGGACTAGAAAGGAATAATAATCCTAAGTGCAAAGGCCCATTTCCCAAAAGAGCTGCCAAACAGGATCCTTCTCTCACAACTAAAATACATTCCAAAAAGGAAAAGCAGATAACATGCAGAACTGGGCAACTAAAAGGTCCCAAGACAAGGAAGTAGGGCAGGGCCCCCTAAATCAGAATTCAAGTGTTCAATTTATTACTCTTCTGCAGGTGTTATCTGTGCAAGGAGGTATCCTCACACTTTTATGCCAGCAGAGTTCGATCTAATGAGTTTTAATAATGAATTCCTCAAAGTAGCTTCTGATTAACAGCTCGAACAGGGACAACACCCTTTAAAGCTCACACATAAGAACAAAAACCCCTTTTTCAAAGTGTGGCTCAAATGAAATTTTATAAAAGTTTTAGTTGTTCTGACATGACATTAGGAACCAAATGCATCAGATACTATCCTGAAAAATGCTTGTCACAAAAGGCTCCCTCTAGCATACAAGCCAAATCTAACTGGGCAACTACAATGCCATTCCTCAATATATTAAATTCATTTTATGCCAGAAATCATACTGTGTTAATCATCAGGAAAAGTACTCGAAGTGATTGCCATGGAATAAATCACTAGACAAAAGCTGAAACAATGGTAGGAAAATGGTTGTTACTGTTACCTGCAGACCTGCTTCCTCAGTACCAATAACCCTATTCATATGAAGCAAAGCCTTTTACCACCAGAACATGTTTTATCACCTTAACAGCGTTCCTATTGGCATGTAGCCTTCTCCATCACCATGGTTATTTCTCTTGCCAACCATTGACTCAGGTTACCAGATGAGGTTTGTTTAATTTTATGAGACCAGCTCTCCTGCTACAAGGTTGAAGAACTCCAGAGCAAAATAAGTTTTTAGAACTGGGCATGACTTTTTAATTTTATTAATAAAGTAAGACAACAACAAGCTAGCCACAGGCATTGTAAAATGCAGTACGATAAGGAACAACAAAACAGGCACAGGGAATGCCATCCAGAGGGACCTGGACAAGCTCAAGAAGTGGGCCCATGTGAACCTCATGAGGTTCAACAAGGACAAGTGCAAGGTCCTGCACCTGGGATGGGGCAACCCCCAGTATCAATACAGGCTGGGGGATGAAGGGATTGAGAGCAGCCCTGAGGAGATGGACTTGGGGATACTGGTGGATAAAAAGCTGGGCATGAGCTAGCAACATGCACTTGCAGGCCAGAAAGCCAACCATATCCTGGGTTGCATAAAAAGCAGTGTGGCAAAAATGATCAGAGGGATGGAACACCTCTCCTATGAGGAAAGGCTGAGAGAGTTGGGGTTATTCAGCCTGGAGAAGAGAAGGCTCCAGGGAGACCTTATTGCAGCCTTTTAATACTTAAAGGGGGCTTAGAAGAAAGATGGGGATAGTCTTTTTAGCAGGGCCAGTAGTGACAGGACAAGGGGTAATGGTTTTAAACTAAAAGAGGGTAGATTCAGACTGGATATAAGGAAGAAGTTTTTTTTATGATGAGGGTGGTGAAACACTGGAACAGGTTGCCCAGAGAGGTGGTAGATGCCCCATCCCTGGAAACATTCAAGGTCAGGCTGGATGGGGCTCTGAGCAACCTGATCTAGTTGTAGATATCCCTGCTCATTGCAGGGGGGTTGGACTAGATGACCTTTAAAGGTCCCTTCCATCCCAAACCATTCAATGATTCTATAAT